CCGTATTTATACGGCAGGAAATGTCGAGTGCGCACGGACCATTATGCTCTGCAGTTCCTCCTCACCTTCAAGGAACCGCGGGGGCAGATGGCCCGATGGCTGGCGCAGCTGCAGGAGTACAACCTGCAGATCGAATACCGGGCGGGGCGGATGCATGCAAACGCGGACGCATTATCACGGCGACCCGCGGTGTGTGCCGAGACGAGGGCGGAGGAGGCCTGCCCGTGCTTCACGGGGGGACGTTGCCGACAGGCAACGGACCCCCGGGAACCCGCTGAACCTAACCCCCCCCCGGCGAGAGAGAGTGCGGTATGCGCCACAGAGACCCCCACAGGTGGAGGCGCAGACCCAGTCGGCCGCCCGGCGAGCGCAGGGCCCACGACTCGGGACCCCGTGGACCACCCCGCCCCGATCGGACGGATCCAGGAGGACGTCGGCTGCGCCTTCCCGGGCCTGAGCGACGAGCAGCTGAGGCAGACCCAGCAGCGGGATCCGGATCTGGCGGCGGTGGAAGCGGCCCTGCGGGAGGGGAAAAGCACCCTACCAGGGCCCTGGAGCGGTTTGTATGCCCGGTTGTGTGTGCAGAACGGGGTGGTACGGGAGTTAACCGAGGCCGGCCAGCCGGGGTGCATCTGTGTTCCCGCCCAGGTGCGACCCCAGCTGCTACGGCTGGTACACGACCACCCGCTCGGGGGCCATGACGGGGAACGTCGCACTCGGGAGACTCTGCGTCGCCAGTATCTCTGGCCCAAATTGACGCAAGATGTGGCCGCCTGGGTACAGGGCTGCCGCGCTTGTCAGCAGTGCGGGCCGAAACCGGCACGATACCAAGTACCCCTAAGGCCGTTCCGCGTCAGTCGGACTAACCAGCTGGTCGGCATCGATCTCCAGGGGCCATTCCCACGATCCCACCGGGGCAACCGCTATATCCTCGTAGCGGTGGAATACTTCACCCGCTACCCCGTGGCGGTGGCCATCCCCGATAAAACGGCCCTGGTAGTAGCCCGGGCGTTCGTGGAGCACTATGTACTTAAGCACGGGATCCCGGAGCGAGTCCTTACCGACCAGGGTAGCGAGTTCGAGGCCGAGTTGTTTCAGGCGCTGTGCCGGGAGTTCGGGATCCAGAAAGACCGAACCACGGCGTACCACCCCCAGGCGAACGGTATGGTTGAACGTATGAATCAGACTCTGGCCGGAAAGCTCAAGCGTATGGCGGCCGCAAACCAACGGGATTGGGACGAACACCTCCCCTACGCCCTGTTCGCCTACGCCACCACGGTGCACACATCGACGGGCCAAACCCCGTTCCTAATGATGTTTGGTCGTGAGTCTCGTCTACCCGCAGACTTGCTGTTCGGCATTCCTCCACCCCAAACGGAGGAAGGGAGTCGCCCCGTGGAACATCTGATGGAGACCCTACGAGGGGTCCGGGACCGGGCCTACCCGCAAGGGGAGGCCGCGCATCGGCGACAGGAACAGAGCACCCGACCCCGCGTGGAGCCCCCCCTTTTCTTGACAGGTACCAAGGTGTGGCTACACACCCCTCGCGTCGGGGCCGGACAGGTGGGGAAGCTGACCACCTACTGGCGGGGACCCTGGACCGTGGTACGGCAGATCTCTCCCTGGACGGTACTAATCCAGGGTGGAGAGAGGGGCCGAGAAACGGTGGTTAACGTCCGCCGCTTAAAACCCTGGAGGGCAGCCCCGGCGGGGGAGAACCTCGCTGCCCGAGTACCGCGAAATCCCGGTGCCCCTGCGCCACCCGTGCTCGGGGGCCTCGCGCACTACATGGGCCCCGCCGTGCCCCCAGCCCCGAGGCGTCCCGGCCCCGCCAGAGGACGGCGGGGACGCCGCCCCTTAAACCCCGCTGCCGCGGAGTTTGTCCCCCAGCCCCCAGGTGCCGAGGGATCGGAGGAGCCACTGGAGTGGAGAAGGAGACCGCTGCAGGAAACCCCGAGGACGGAGCCACCTCCCCCGAGGCCAGCCACGAGATCCGGGCGGATCCCCCGGACCCCGCAGCGCTACCTCGTGGGCGCGGCCCAGGCGAGGTGCTCCAGTCAACCCGGGACGGGGACTGGCACCTCGGGGGGCTATGTGATGCCGCCGCCACGGAGCCGATCGGCGGGTGGCCCACCTGCGATCTCGCCGCTCCGAGCGGCGAGGCCGACATTGCTCCACCCCACCACCTCCCCACCCCCCCCCCCACCGGAACACACACGCACGCACTCCCCCCCACCATTAGAGCGCGTGGGGAGACACCCTGGCCGACAGGTTTTCACCCAGAAGCCCTCGTAAAGGGATAATCTTCACGGTTTCCTGCAGCCAGGGAATTGGACGGTCTCCCCCGACGCTAACACCCACCGCGGCGCCGTGACTTTGGTTGTAATTACATGGTCACGACGGGGCTGCCGAGCCACCGCGGGTAGACAGCACACACAACACACACGGGTCAGCAGGCAGGTAGGAGGGCAGAGCCACGAGCGGCGGGAAAGCAGGGTCGCCCTCTGGCTGGAGGGTCGCTGAGCAGGTAAATTTAGATGCGGACGTCGCTGAAAGCAACGGCCCGGGGGATGCTGGGATACAGATGGGCCTACCGATTGGCGGGTGATCCCAGCGAGCTGATTGGCCCGCGAGTCGGCACCAGGTAGCCCCTTTGATGTAGAAAGAATAAAGCGGGTCAGGGCGAAGGAAAAAGGTTCTCTGGCTACTCGAGTCAACCCCAGGCCCGTCAACTCCCGAGTCCAGCCGCGCGAACGTCCGTGGGACGTATCGACGCGCCGCGAGGACCAGACGGCAGTGACGACGAACCGTGAGTAAGAGAGAGAGAGAGGGAGTTGGGACTTAGCTTAAGAGCAAAACCGGAGAGGGTAAAGGGGAGAAGGACAGGTAGAGTGTAGTGCCGACTATCGAGAGATAGATCGGTCCTGCCCCGCTGATCCCGACTGACTCGGTTAAATAAGGGCTCGCCGACGCGGTGGAATAAATCGTCGGCGGTTACATAACGGACTGGTGTGGTTTTTGCGGAAGCGTGGGTGCGCTTGCTGTCGCGGTGGTCGTTACATAACAGACTGGTGTGGTTATTGCGGAAGCGTGGGTGCGCTTGCTGTCGCGGTGGTCGTTACATAACAGACTGGTGTGGTGGTTTTTGCGAGGGTGTGGAAAGAGAGTGGAAGCGTGGGTTCGCTTGCTGTTCTCGGTGGTCGCCGCGTGTGTGGAGCGGCGCCGCGTGGATTGTGTGCGCTACGAACCGTCGGCTGCGGACTCCTGCGTTGCGAGCGGATACCCGTCTCGCACGCATGCCCATCGCATAGCCCTTTAAACCCGTTTAAACCAATCCCCCCAAGCGTCGGAGTGAGCACGAACGACGTCGCTTACCCTCCGACCTTTGACCCCCTGTTACCCGCGTGTGATTGGTGCGTGGGACTGCGCGGGCGGGGAGCGTCGCGTTTGGGTGCCGGCGAAGCGCTAGCGGGTCCCAGGGAGGTCGAGTGTGATGCCCCACCGGCAGGAGACCCGGACTCGGGGGGGGACGGCACAGGGGGGGGAACAGGAGCGTGACGACCTTTCCCCGCCAGGGGAGGAGTGCGGCGGCGGCAGCTCCCACACTAGTGGAGAGTCTGGGAGCGTCGGTACTTCGCGGACAGGGTCGCAGGCAGGGGAGATCCCGGGGGCCGGCGACCCTAACAACTGCGATGGCTGGGTCATGTAGCCCGCATGCCCAGCCACCGCATGCCGAAACAGCTTTTGTTCAGCCGGATTGAGGGGGCTAAGCGGGCGCGGCACGGGCTAGAGAAGAGATGGAGTGATGTGGTACAGGAGGACGTGGAGCTGAGTGGACTTGCCAATAACTGGTACCAGCGGTGTCAAGATCGGCCTCTGTGGAGGAGGCTCGTGAAGGATTCTACTGGGCAGTTGGAGGTAATCGCCCTCCAACAACAACGGAGGGCGGAGGAGCGACGCTCAGAACAACGAGCGGAGCGCCAGGTGGCTAAAGCACAGCAGGTTGGCACAGTAGGGGGCACAGGGTGGTGCATCAGCCAGTCATCTCAGTCAGTCGACCCGTGGCACCTGGGTCTGCCCCGTGACCTCCTGCCAGCGGGCGTTCGACACTTCACGTGGCCTCAGGGTGCACATAGCCTGGCACAAGCGTCGTGGTGACGTCACCGCCACTTAGTGGCGAATGGCGGTTGTTGTTGAGTCTATGTACCATCGGACACTCCACCCCCACAACTCCCAATTGGTGATGGGGCAGTTGTGGAGAGAGTGGAGAGTTTCCCATATGTGGGCAGTGTGCTCATGACCGGCTCCAGTTTAACAGCAGAGGTCTCACATCGAAACAGTCAAGCGGCAATATCTTTTCATCGGTTGCGTAACGCTGTGTGGAAGCTACGTGGTCTATCACTCCACACGAAGCTTCAGGTCTTCTCTGCCACGGTCATTCCCTCCCTTCTCTACGCTTGCGAAACTTGCACCCCCCTAATGGAACATCTTCGCCGTATAAACATTTAGGATGGCCTACCTACGATCCATCCTGGGTTTAACCAGGCTGGATTGTGTGAGCTCACAAATCCTTGAAAAATGTGGGCATGGACCCACGCACACACATCAAGTCCCATCGGTGAGCTCCTCCGGCAGACAAAGCTGCGTTGGCTGAGCCATGTAGCCCGCATGCCCAGCATGCCGAAACAGCTTTTGTTCGGCCGGATAGAGGGGGCTAACGGGTGCGGCACGGGCTAGAGAAGAGATGGAGTTATGTGGTACAGGAGGACGTGGAGCTGATTGGACAATGGAGGGCGGAGGAGCGACGCTCACAACAACGAGCAGAGCACCGGGTGGCTAAAGCACAGCAAGTTGGCACAGTAGGGGGCACAGGTGGTGCATCAGCCAGTCATCTCAGTCAGTCGACCCGTGGCACCTGGGTCTGCCCCGTGACCTCCTGCCAGCGGGCGTTCGACACTTCACGTGGCCTCAAGGTGCACATGGCCTGGCACAAGCGTCGTGTGACGTCACCACCACTTAGTGGCGAATGGCGGTTGTTGTAAGTCCATGCATGTCTGCCTTTTTCACCCGGTACTTACACTAGTCTATTTAATATAAGGTATCATAATGTGATATGTATCAGATATTAAACTGATAAGCCCAGATATTACACGTGATCTTAGCCAAAAGGCCAAGAAGCGACGCTTCACAACGATTCGTGGCGGAGCTTAACATACGCCGAAATTCTCTCTCTACACCATGGGTTCACGAAGATGCGTCACATCCGTAACATCGCACAATGTTATTATAGCAATTCCATGCTTGATATCGTCTCAAAACATCTTAAAATAAATATTAATATTGTTTACACAACAAATCCACATTCATTACGTGTTTGCTTTAATCAAAATGTGAATAGCGATTTACACGCGGTGCACTCTGGGAGTGGTGTGATTGCGCTTGTTCTTCCTGCAGGCGGCGTCCGTGAGCTCGTGCGTGAGTTCACATTCATTGGGGCTGTTGCGTGTATGGCAGGGGTCGCAACCTTTCATATCACAAGGGCCATTTGTTTTCCTCTCTGACCAAAATAGTTCGAGAGGCACATCACACGCAGAGCTACTTGTACACAAACACATCAGGTATAGCTACTTGTACACAAACACATCAGATTACAAACAAATTCTGACTTAAACAAGATAGGTGATGGAATAAATTGTGTGTATTTAGTTTATTTCACCCTTTTATTGTTATTCAACAAGAGCAATTAATAAGCCACCCTGTGTGATATATTTACATATTAAAAAATGAGCACAATAGCTACCCCACTTATGAAGCAAGAGGACAAGAAGCAATGCCCTCTGGGAGTGGTGCATCATTAATTAAAAACAGCCAAACTCTGGAGGAGAGGTATTCAGACACTTTGAGTAGTTTAATGTTTAAAATAATCTGTGTGTGCTGTTTTTAAGCTAAAATATAAAAGTGTACAGTAATATTGTTACTCTAGTTAAGTAGCATCCCTACTAATAACTGGAGTCTGTCGCCTGTAAGTCATTGGCACGTGCTGTATTGCTATGTCTTTACACCTTACACCATATTCATAATGCAATAATTGTATGATTGACGCACCCTTGGTGTAAAATAAAGTTACGCAAATCTGGTCACCTACGCAAACCTACCAGATTATTAAATGCACCCCCAACTTACGATTCAAAATATACACGGGAAGGGAGGGGTGCATCTCAAAATCCGGAGAACATGATTGATGCGATCTCACGTTCACACAATCTTTCCAAACTATGGCATAAATCGTTTTGTCTGCGTGAGTTTTTTTTTATGTGGACCATGATCCATTTTTCAACAGTTGAGAGGCAAACTTTAATGGTCAAGGAAATACGGGTGCTTGAGGTCGGAGTACCGAATCACATCTGTAACAAGACGAGAAAGTCCCCATCGCAATAGAACATAATAGCGTATTTGCTACTGTGCCGGTCAGAGAACCCGACTTTTACCCAAATAGTTAGAAACAAGCCGGACCCCTTAGAAGTAAAGGAGCCGTGTATGTTAGATAATTTTGGATACATTTTCATCTAAATGACATGACGCCCGAGCGCACTATAAATATTTATACCATATTATTAATATTGATACCATATTATTAATATTTATACCATATTATGAATATTTATACCATATTAATATTGGTTTTTGCTGGCTGGAGGGAGGTACGGACGGGCGGTTGCATCCACATCACGTGCGTGCGGCTGGTATTTTTAAAATCCTTTTAAAGTGTTTTATTTATTGAGGGAAGACTAGCATACTACCTTTCACGAGGCCACAGTCTCTAGGATGTTTGCTTACTCTCGTAAGCGAGTGTTTTGTGTATTGATGACAGCGTCTTTAAACATTCAGTCCTCCCGTTGGTCCCTCACCTGGTTAAATAAAGGAAATGCAATGAATGGAACATCGAGAGTCAAACAAAGCAATAAATATCATGGGATACTGGTTGTGCGAACTTTTTACCTATGCAAATCATCTCCCAATCACTCTTCATGCGCCATGCGCCCTTTCCCCAGTCGTGAGAGAGTGATTATCATCAGTCATCGTAATCAGGACCTATTGCTGGCGTCAACAGCTTGGGTTATTTTGAGGACAGCGTCAGCCACGTTTGTCCATATTCACGGCTCCTTTCTCAATCAACTGCTGGATGAAGGCCCCGAGAGATACGCCGGTCCGGTTCGTGGGAGGCTGTTCAGCAGTAACTTCATCAAGCTGGTCAGCGCAAGTGGTGGTGAAGGCGTAGATCGTGGATGTCGGAGCTTAGTGCAGTACAACAACGCACTTTGCTGTATTGTCCTCTGCTGAGAGATGAGAATAGAAATTTCCCAGAGGGGAGGGGGGTGGACGGATCCCAAAGCGTGCGGGGAGGTGGGGTCACACATGTTAAGGTTTTTTTTTATATATAGGAGACCCAACGTTAGTAAGATAAAAAAAAAACATCCATATTATGTATTTTCTTCGGGATATTCATTTATGGAGGGGGGGGGTCAAAACTCCCCCATTGCCCCCACCGACCCCCCTTGGATACTTACTCAACTGCTTCGGCTGTCCACACTGTGGCAGCTTATAACAAACCAGTTATTCTTGGCAATTCTGACCCAAGCACTATCCAGGCTCAACCCTGCTTATGTTCGCAGATCTGACGATTCGAACGGGTGCCGCGCATCCTGGCCGATTGGGCCATAGCCGGCAGGTCAGCCAATGTGCGTCTTTCTGAAATCACGGTGCTGTCGACCCAAGGAGTTTAAATGGGTACAACGACAGTCGATCAGTATAGGTGGTGGGGTAAACTGTGGGTACTCCCACCCCGTCCAAGACGTCTGCAGGACAGCTCCCCTCCAGAGGAGGCCAGCTCTCTTCTTGGCCTACTCTTTCGCGCTCATATTTTGTTTTTCTTTGCATGCATAAAACAGTTGCCACGTTGTGATAGAGCAACTGTTGCATGCATCGATGTAGCAACGATACATCTTCTACGCTTGCCTTGCAGATGTCTTTGCCCGGGGTGGGAGTATCCCACCGTTTACACCACCACACGCGACTGATACCGGGTCGGCTGTGGTCGTCACCCAATTACGCTGCTTGGGTAAACAATCAGGGTGGCTAGACTGCCGCGTCGGGAGAACGATCCAGCGACCAACCACTGGATTGCAATCAGACCCTCCTTTGTTGTGCTCACCATGGACGGCATGTTAGTCACGATTCATAAAGTCCATCGGCGGTCATCGGAATGTTACTCGGTTGTGAACGTTTTCAATCATAGCGATTTAAATACACACGGCACGTTGCAGTACTTTCTAAAAACCTCGTGTCATCGGTAATCGGATATCGATTACTTTTTGAGAGTATAATCCCTTACAACACTGTCCTTATCCAGTGGGGGTGTCAGCCCCTCCTCCACGCCCCCCACCCCGAGATCTACACCTCCATTCGCCCTGGAGCCCCCCCCCCCCCACACACACACATGCCCCCCCTAATTACAGGCGGTTGTCGTCCACGCACAATAATTGGCGGGCAGCTGTCTGGGCTGTGGCATTGGCGGGGTGCCAGGAAAAACAAACTCGGTGCAGGCCGGACTATGTGTGTGTGTGTGGTGGGGGGGGGGGTTACCATAGCGACCCCGGTGCCCTCCACAACCCACCCCCTCAACCCCAAACGCACCCCCGACCTCATCTTCCCCCCCGGAGCACCTTTGCCCGCGCGTGCCATTTCACAAAGTGCACCCCAAGCATCTGGCGACTGCGCTGGCAACGTTCGCCTCCAGCACAAGTGCAGAGTGTAACCCCCCGCGTGGAATTGTCGATTGCCCGTGATGGGGTCGGCAGTGTAACTCGAATCACAGCGGTAAGGTCGCGAGGTCAAAGCCCCCCCCCACCACCCCCCGCCACAAAGGGGTCAGTTCAGGTAAATTCATCATCCCTCCGGTTTTCACAGAGCAAGTACTGGCCCGGTAAACATGCCAACGTTGGTCCAACGTTGGCATACGGTCAGAACCGTTGGATCAACGGTAGCCCAACGTTCCAACATCACCTTTTGGAAAGTCAACAGTGGTTAAATCTTGACTTAAAGCTTTCGTGACTGCTGGAATTCATATTCTATAGGTCTCTCGGTAAAGTCACGTAGATAGGTTCCCGATGACGACCGCTTGTGTTGCGATCGAAACGTCGTAGTTTTTTCTGTTATTTTCTTTGAACCTATCTACGTGACTTTACCGAAAGACCCAAAGAATATCAACAGTGGTTGTTGTGTGGATAGACTTGCCTCCCCCAATCATGGTAAGGTGGACTTTCTGCCGCTGTCTCCGTTGAGTGCAGGGAGCATCACTGCATGCCGCTGTGAGCAAGAATACATTTTTGAACTTTTTGACCCCAATGATTAAGATTGTATCAATGGTGACCACTGCTGGATTAAGGCTGGCCCCACAACGTGCCTTACCTTATATAGATTTACATAGCGCCTTACTCCAAGGTGCTTTACAACAATTGTACCTTTTTTAATGTATTAGATGATAGTGGTAGAAATAAAGTGGGGTTGTTAAAAGTTGTGGTGGTGTAGTTATGGTGACAGAAGGACAGGCGGGAAGAGGTTAAATGAGTTAGGGTTGGGGTTGGCCTGGTCGTAGTTGGGGGGCCAGTCTTAGGGAGCAGCAGTAGCAGGATAGGCAAGGGAGGAGAGATGGTTTGTTTTAAGGGAGGAGAGGAAGCAGGTTATAGTGAAGATGATTGTTTTATTTGCAGTGGGAGTTTGTTACAGTGAAGGGGAGCAAGAAGGAGCGAGAGAGCGAGACTGGGCACGGTAGCGAGGGAGGCGCAGAGAGGGGCGGTAGAAGTTGGGAGCATCGAGGACGGGATTCGGACACGGTAAGATATAAGAGAGAAGCAAGATAAGGTGGGGCAAGACCATGAAGGGATTTATAGATTGCAGTGAGACATTTGAATAAACAGCGATGGTAGACAGGGAGCCAGTGTAGTTGGGAGAGGAGCGCAGAAGTGTGGGAATTGTGGTGGAGGTTTAATATGATCCGTGCTGTTATGTGAGTTTTTGACCATACTTCACCATGCTGCGAAGTGTGGGTCCGTAAACGGTGACTACCAGGAGTGACTCCACCCAACTCCACCACAAAGTGGTATACATTTTATTCACACTACA